TTTCAGAGACAGCATAAAAGCAAGAGAGCATGAGTAGAGGGAGGGGCAGAGGGAGAGGGAGAAGCAGACTCCCCGCCGAGCAGGAAGCCCCACAAGGGGGGCTCAATCCCAGGACCCCAAGATCATGACTAGAGCCAAAGGTAGACACTTAACCCACTGAGCCACCCACATGCCCTACCAGTAAACCTTTTTAAATGCTTTTCCTTGGGTTGTTTCTTGGGTTTCTGATGAGGGAAAAAAAAAAAGAAAGAAAGAAAAGAAAAATGATTGGTTTCATTTTCATAACATTTTTTACAATTATATAACTTCCTTACAAACCAGTATGCACTGCAGTAGTGTGTTTGTCTCACTCCATCACTAAAATGGGGCAGTGTCTTATCTCAGTGCCCCCTCAGTACATAGCACACTGTCGAGCCAGAAAGAGCTCAGTGCAGTTTTGTTGAAATGGCAATGAACTCTTCGAGAAAGGCTCACTTTGGAGTTCAAGAGGCAATACTCAGGTGTAAATCAGAGGAATACATTGAATGGGTAGTTGCCTTTATAATTTTCATTAACCTACTCCTTCAGCACACTTGTACTGAGCAGCTTTCACATGCCCTGAACTGTGCTATATACCAGGTCCCAGGGAGACAAATAGGCAAATTCCCAGAATATAAATCCTCCAGAGTGTACATATACAGGTTGGATGGACAGATGAATGGATGGCTGGGTAATGTTATTCCAGATTATGTAGAAGTAGTCATTGGTGTGGTAATAAAATAAAGGGGAAGGCAGTTTAGACAAGAGTAAAAGAAGGCTTCTCAGCCGTGGTGATGCAGATGCTTAGAATGAAAGGAAGAACATGGGATGCGCTGGGGAAGCTCTTCTAGCAAAGCCATTCACAGGTGCTAGTTCCAGGTAAGCCTGGAGAGTTGAGTGCAGCAGGTGGTGCAGAACACACAAAGATATTAAAAGCTGAGAAACAGTCTGGAGTTTTTTCCAGTGCAGTGGGAAGCTATTGGTGGGCTTTAAGCAGGGAATTATGTAATATAATTTGTATCTTTTAAAGATCTGTCTGGGGATGGTAGAAAGGGAGGTGGGCGGGGGGTAGGGGTGACTGGGTGATGGGCATTGAGGGGGCACTTGATGGGATGAGCAACTGGGTGTTATTCTATATGTTGGCAAATTGAACACCAATAAAAAATAAATTTTAAAAAAATAAAGATCTGTCTGGTGTTGGGAAGAAGGAATTGGAGGAAGATGCAGACTGTGGTTTGCTGATGTGGATAAAAGTGTTCAGACTGAGTGAAATGATCAATAGCATGCTAGCAAATGTCCAGCTATGTGCCAGGAAGGCTGTTTTTCAAAAAAGTGAGTAGACAGAAGTTGGATTGGAGAAGTCCTTCATGAACCTGTTTAGTAGGTTTACATAAGGGCTCTTTTACGGTCCACAGATTTTTATTGCCCATCATTTTTATTAAAGTATAATATACCTACAGAAAAACACACATCAAAATATACAGCCTCATGAGTTATAGAAATGCAAATATCCCTTTGTAATCACCACTCAGACCAAAAAACAGCTCATTATCTGCATCCATTCTGCCCCCCTGTGTTTTTTCCCCATCACTCCCTTTTTCCTCAGTCCACTCTATCTACTATTGTGATTTCCAGTCTGTAGGTTATTTGTAAACTTCACATGATGAATAAAATAGTAGATTGCATGTAGCGCCAGGTCATTCGTTCATACAATGCTACTCATATATACTCTTTGTCCATTTGTATATATATGCCAATTTATCCATTCTACTACTGGTGTTCATTTGGGCTGCTTCTAGTTCTTAGCGCTGTGAGTAGTATGCTGCTATGAAGATACTTCCCATACACTTTAGTGTACATGTGGATACATTGTGGGTGAGTATGTACCAAGTACTGAAATTGCTGGTCATATAGGGTATATGTGCGATCAGTTTTGGCAGATACTTCCAAATAATCTTCCATAAGTGTTGAACCAGTTACAATCTCACAAGCCCTAGAGGAAGATCAAATTGCTTCACATCTTCACCAACACTTGGTATTTTTTGTTTTAGTAATTTTAGATATGGCAGGTATCTAATTGTGATTTTAATTTCATTTTTGTGGTAACAAATGATGAGACTGAGCAAATTTTCATTGATTCTTGGCTATTCAGGTGTCTGCTTATGAAATGTTCAGGTATTGGATTAACTATTTCTTATTAAATTATTTCTTGATGCGGCAGGGCTCAGTGAACTTTTCTTTTTTGGTTTGCCTTTCACCCTATTAATGACATTTCCTAGTGAAAAGCTCTGCCAGGCCTGGGGGCACAAGGTGAAGTCTGGAGTATTCTCAGTTCAAACTTCTCTTCCCCTGCCTCAAATTTAGCAGGCAGGAGCCCCCAGTCTGGGGTTAGAGGAGCAGAAGAAGGTTACCTTAAATGAAGGTTAGAGATGGAGGTGTAATTAACACAGTAGACAGAATACACTCCACTTAGAATGCAGACTGTGTTTGTAAGTCAGGGAGCATGCCAGATTCCCACCCAGGGGAAAGAACAACTCTTCTGAATTCTCTCAGCTAAAGTCCCTCCTTAAAATAGGAGGTCAGAAGGAGAGAAAAATAAGTTGCATTTTGATTACATTCCCCATGTCATGGACATTCAGTTTCCCCAAGTCTTTACCTGGGCAGCTAACTCGCTACTTAGTGCTACCTGTCAGACCTTTGTTGGGTGCTCCAGATGGGCCTCCAGGGCAGGACCCCACCATGTGACCTGCTTCATAGCTGTACTTCCTTACCACACTTTTGTGCTCAGAAGGTCTTTGCCCAGGAAATGGAGAGAGAAACACAATACACATCTGCTGAAGGAGGAAAGAAAAGTCCCCTTTGGGGCTACCGTCCTGGTCCATGGCTCCCCAGACACTCACAGTTTATGCACGGAGAAAGCTTCAAAGAATGCAGCTGATGCACCCCAATCTGAGATGGCACAAACAAAAGTGCGTTATTCCACTTATCTCAAATATGTATTGTTCTCATATGTCCTTTGAACACCTGTGCAAACCGTGGAATCAATTCTCAGAATTAAACTTAGTGGAGTTTTGCAACTTTGCTAGGAAGAAAAAGACCTTGCTCTAGGAAGTGTTAGGGAGGTATAAGCTTTCCCATTCTTGAGTTTGTATTTCCCTATTTTTCAAGGCTTTGTAGGTATTACAGATATCATTGTGCAATTTAGATTTTATTCCTCCTGGAGAACCAGGTGACTTCAAAGTGATTTATAGCCAGTGAGGTTGGCAGAATTATGGAGATTAGTGAAAAGAAGTAAGGCAAGAGAGAGGGAGGAAAAAAGAAGGAAAACAATTTTGAGCAGGGGGTTTAGGATGAGGCAATGTGCTGTAAAGAACAGGGAAGAAAGTGAGACGCTCTTCTCCATCAGGGAAGAAAGTGAGACGCTATAGTGGCATGTCATCTTAACCAAAGGCAATGTACTGCTTGTTGGATAGAGTCAGCTCCAGGAGACTGGCTGAAGCAGGGGGTGAGACAAACTATGACATCACCCTGGTCTATACCCTAAAGGAGTAACTGAGAGCCTATGACCCACTTCACATCCCCTTCAAGTCAAAGGCCTGCTGAAAAATCATCATTTTTCACCTATCACACCTTTGCATGATGTACTTGTCCCACTACTGTTTGGAAAATCAAGCTTTCATCACCTCATGAACTAGCCAGTTAACAGCATGAGCCTCATTTCATCACTGCTCATTCTCATTCTGTCTTGGTCACCTCAGCACTTCTACTCTGTGTGTGACCTCATCTAAACTACAAACAGAATAGGTAAAATGCTCAGTATCCCCAAACTCTGATTTGGACCTAGCATAATCCCCCACCACTGCTTCCCAAGCTGGGTGGTCTCACCCTGAGTACCAGGCAAGACTTTGTCCCACTGAGCTTCACTCTCTAAGAGGGGCACTGACTTTATTTGCACACTCTGGAAGTCTGGGGAGTTGGATCAATATTCTAAAGAACACCTTATCTTTCTCCCCACTTTTTCTGACACAGCACTGCTATAAACACTAATTAGTATGCATCATGGAACCCATGACTTGGGCACTTGGGACCACGGAGACCCTGTTTATTCCATGCAGCACTCTTGAAAAGCAAATGCCATAACTGGGGGGGGGGGGAGTTTCTGTGTCAACAAATTGGCTCAAGTTCAAATTTAAATGCTTTAAGCAGCTAGGCCTGGCTTTCTCTGCCCCTACTAGGTGTGTCCTGGTGCCAGTAGGGCTGAGAGGTTAGTGTGAGCCTTTTTCCCTGTCTCTGTGAAAGTCTCATGGCTCTCTGGTTAGCAGTTACTTAGGAAAACCCAGTGTACAGCCACTATGACCTTGATCCCCTGTTGGTGTCTCTGCAGTCTTTTCTGAGTCACATCTTCAAACCTCCCCTGTCTGCGGGGTCTGGGGTATTGCTGTTGAATCATTTTGTGTTCCATTTACATACTGGCCACAGGAGCAGAAATAAAAGCATTTCTTTATATAGCCTCTTTGGGGCTTTTGCCCATGTTCTAATTGGATTGTTTATATTTTAGAGTTGAATGATGAGTTTCTTTATATATTCTAGATAGTTGTTTGTCAGCATGTGTTTGGCAAACCTTTTCTCCCAGCCTGTCATTTCACCTTCTTAACAGGGTCCTTCACAGATCCAAGGGCTTTAATTTTGATAAAGTCCAATTTATTGATTTTTGCTTTTGATTTGTCACCAAGCCCTACATCCTGAAGATTTTCTCCAATTTTTTTCTTCTAATGATTTCGTAGGTGTGTGTTTTATGTATAAAACTATAATCCATATTTAGTTAATTTTTGTATAAAATATGAGGTTGAGGCTTTTGTTTTGTTTTGTTTTGGGCTTTTTTTTACCAATTGATATGCAATCAGCAAGTGAAATCCATTTGCCTAAGACTGCCTTGCCTCCATTGAATAACTTTTCCAGCTTTATCAAAAATCAGTTGGCCAGTACTCACTTTGGTAGCACGGGTACAAAAATAGGAATGATACAGAGAAAATTACTATAGGCCATGAGCAAGAATGACATGTAAATTCATGAAATTATCCATATTTTTTAAATGCCACTGAATTACAGACTTAAAAACAATTATAGTGGCAAATTTTATGTCACAAATATATTTCCACAATTTTTAAAACTAATGTAATATTACAACAATCATTGAATTGTGCATTTTCAATGAGTAATTAATTGTATGGTGCATGAATTATATCTCAATAAAGCTGTTTAAAAATACAGCCAAAGCAAAAAAAATAAAAAAGAAAAATCAATAAAACACCTGTGTAGGTGTACCTGTGTAGGTTTGTTTCTGGGTTTCCTATTCTGTATTGTTGATCTATCTAGCCTTATAATAGACTGTAGCTGTGTAATAAGTGTTATAGATAGTGTTTAATCCCATTTTATTTTTATTTTTCAAAATGCTTGGATCTTCTAGTTTCTTTGCTTTTCCATATCAATTATATAATACAGTGTCTATATCTGCAAAAATATTGCTGGGGTTTTGATAGAAATTACATTAAAACCTATACATCATTTTACGGAGACATCTCTACAATGTTGAGTCTTCCAGTCCTTGAGCATAGTATGTCTCTCTGTTTATTTGGATCTTCTTTTACTTTTTTCATCAGTTTTTACAGTTTAAGCATATAAATCCTATACACATTTTGTTAGACTTATACCTAAGTATTTCATCTGTTTACTGAGTGATTGTAAATGGTACTGTATTTTTAATTTCCATGTCCATGGGTTAATTTCTAGCATATAGGAATAATAGTTTATTTTTGTATATTGATTTTTTATCATGTGACCTTGCTGAACTCCTATATGCTAGGAATCTTTTGTAGCTTCTTTGGGGAATTTTCTATGTAGACTGTGATGTCATTTGCAAATAGGAACAGTTTATTTCTTCCTTCCAGTCTGTATGTCGTTTAGTTCCTTTTCTTGTCTTATTGCTCTGGCTAGGGCTTCCAGTACTATGCTGAATAAAGTGGTGAGGGCAAACATCTTGCCTTGACTCTAATCATAGTTAGAAAACATTTGGCCCTTTGCCATTAACTATGTTAGCTATAGTGTTCTTGCATAATTCTGTATCGAATTGAAGAAATTCCCCTTGATTCCTAATGTTCTGAAAGTTTTGGCCATGAATGATATTGTGTGATTTTTCTTTAGCCTGTTAATATGGTTGATTAGACTGATACATTTTTGAATATCGAACCATTCTTGCATCCCTGGAATAAATCTGACTTGGTTTTGTATGTATATAATTTCTTTTTTTATTTGTTTTTATTGACATTCTATTTACCAACATATAGTGTAATACCCACTGCTCATCCCATCAAACGTACATATATACATTTTTATACCATGACCAAATAGAGTTTATATTATTTATTATACTTATTTATATGTTATTTATGACATATAAGTAATATTTGTATTTATATTTATTAAGAATATTATTTACTTTTTATGTATTGTATTTCTTAGATTTTAGTATTAAGGTAATACTGGCCTCATTAATGTAATTGAAAAGTTACTTTTCTGTTTTCTGGAAGAGCTTGTATGTAATGGCATTCTTTTTAAACATGTGGTTGTATTTTTCAAAATTCTTCAGAAACAGTGTGAGCCTGGGTATTTCTCTTTAGGAAAATTTGAAATTGTAAATTAAATTTCTTTAATAATTAGGGGGATATTCAAATGATCTATTTCATATTGAGTGAGTCATAGTAGTTTGTGCTTTTGAAGGGATTGGTCCATTTCATCTAAGTGACCAAGTTTACATGTATACAGTTGTTTGTAATATTCCCTTATTATCCTTTTGGTGTCTGAGCATCTGTAGCAATATCCTGTTTTATTCTTGTTATAGGTAATTTGGGTCTTTGTCAATTTTGCTACAGGTTTATCAATTTTATTGATGTTTTCAAAGAACTAGCTTTTTGTTTTATTAATTTTTCTCTACTGTTTTGCTATTTTCAATTTTATTGATTTCTACTCTTTATTATCTTCTTCCATTTGCTGGCTATGTGTTTGCATTGCTGGTATCATAAAGTGGGAGCTTAGATTATTAACTGGAGGCTTTTACTGTTTTCTAATGTAAACATTCAGTGCTATAAATTTACCTTTTGGCAGTACTTTAGCTATGTTTTACAAATTTTGTTATATTGCATTTTTATTTTCTTTCAATTCAGTATGTTTTTTTTCTCTTGAGACTTCCTCTTTAACTCATGGATTCTTTAGAAGTCCATTGTTCAGTTTCCAACTATTTGAAGGTTTTTTAATTTTTTTCTATTATTGACTTCCAATTTTGATTCCACTGTGGTTATAGAACACACAGTATGAGTTTAAGTCTTTGTTTTTTTAAATAACTTCTCCAGGTATTGCATTGTGTATATGTAACTTAGCATAGTATACTGGTGTTGATATTTTACCAATTTAAATAAGGTATAGATACTTTACCTCCTTTTAAGTCCCTTTACCCTCTCCTATTAATAATTATTTTAAATATTTCCTCTATTTATACTTTGACAATCACATCAAAGTTATAATTTTTGCTTCCAACCTTGAATATTATTTAGAAAAGAAGCATGTCCTAAGTTTTGGGGGGTTTTGTGGTTTTGTGGTGGTGGTTGTTCATTTCTTTTCCATTTTAAGAAATTCCTTAGCCATTCATTTAGAGTGGACCTACTAGTGACAAATTCTCTTAGATTTTATTCATCTGAGTATGTCCTAATTACTCCTTCATTCCTGCTGGATATAGACCTCTGGGTTGACAGTTCTCTTCTTTCAGCACTTGACAAATGTTATTCCACTTCCTTCTAGTCTTTATGGTTTCTAAGAAACCCATTGTCATTTGAGTTGTTTCTTCACTATAAGTAAGATGTCATTTGTCTTCCTCTACTTTCAAGATTTTTTCCAGGAGTTTGATTATTTTGTGTTTGGTGTAGATTTTTTTTTGATTTATTGTATTTCAGGTTTGTTCAGCTTCTTGAATATGTAGGTTTGTTTTTTGCCAAATTTGGGAAATTGTAAGACATGATTTCTCCCAAATACTTTTTCAACCCCAGATCCTTTCTCCTCTCCTTCTAAAACTTTGATGAAACAAACTTTATGCCTTTTGTTGTATATACAGGTGCCTGAGCCTTGGTTAATTTTTTTCTATTTTCTCTGTTCAGATTGGGTAATTTCTATTGTTCTATCTTTAAGTTCAATGATTCTTTCTCTGTCCTATTAATTTTGCTACTGAACCTATCCAATAAGTTTTTCATGTAGGTTATTTTATTTTCTCAGTCCTAAATTTCCATTGGTTCTTCTTTATATCTTCTGTTTCTTTCCTGAGACATTCTACTTTCTCATTTGTTTCAAGCATACTTGTAATTGTTTGTTGAAGCATTTGTATGATATTTGCTTTAAAACTTCTGTCAGAGAATCCCACCATCTGTGTCACATAGATGTTGGCATCTATTGATTGTCTTTTCTCATTCAAGTTGAGATTTTCCTGGTTCTTTGTGTAATGAGTAATTTTCAATTATGCCTTGCATATTATGTTATGAGATTCTGAATCCTATTTAAAGTTTCTGTTTTATGGAATGAGAGGAAATCAGAGAAGGAGACAAACCATAAGAGACTCTTAACTATAAGAAAGAAACTGAGGGTTGCTGGGGAGGATAGGGTAACTGGATGATGGGCATTAAGGAGGACACTTGAAATGATGAGCATTGGGTATTATATGCAACTGATGAATTAATTACTGAACTCTACATCTGAAATAAAGATGTTCTATATGTTGGCTATATGAATTTAAAATTAAATAAATAGACAAATCTAAAAGCTTTTTAAAAATTAAAAAATAAAATAAAATTTGTTTTGGCAGTCCTCTTTGGACAACAGACTGGTAAAGGAAGGATTGTGCCACCTCATTATTTCCAGGTAGGAATGGAAGACAAATTTCCCCATTCCACCTCCATGGACACCCTAGGGAAGCAAGGAGGAACACCTTGTAACTGCTGGGCTGGGGTGGAAGTCCAGGCTTCCCACTAGGCTTCAGCTGTTACTCCCCTGGCTGTGAGGAGGAAATCCCTCACCCACTTAGTCCCTACAGACACTACTTAGGTGGAGAGGAGAAGAGTGCTGTGTTACTTTTGGATGGGGATGAGATTCCACCCTCCCCATGTAGCTACTGCTGACAATGTACAAAGAGAGAGTCTTCTTACCACCAAACAAGGATGAAAGTCCTGCCTCCCCTCTCAACTTTCTCTGATACCACCCATGTTGGGGAAATAGAGGTGTCTCATTTCAGTCCAACAAGGATGGAAGTCTAGGCTCCCCATTCAGGGGTAGGGTGGAATCACAGTTTTTTTCCATGGTATTTGGCTAGTGTAATGAGGGCATTGTCTAAAATTTTTCCATCCTGTTAGGCTGCCTCTTTTTATGTCCTTTGGCCAGAGACAGCAGGCTGCTTTTGAGAGTGTCCATTGGCATAGCCAAGTCACTGGCTTGTCCAACACCCAGACCAAGATATATTAAGCATAAAGGAAACCCAGAGACCTCACCACTGTCTTGTTTTCCAGGTCCCAGGGCCCCTAGCCAGTCTGCCTTTTACTCTCCACCTTTCAGTATTTCTAGGCTTATTTGTTTATTGCTTTTCTCTGTTTCTTTATGATAATGTATAAAGCCCAGAGTTTTAAACTGTTCTTAGTGATCAGAATAGGTGAAAGTTTGTCTATCCCATCTTTTCCTGGAACTGGAATCTCACTTTTTAAATTATTTTATTTCATCCTTCCAGTGTGGCTGTGTTCAAGGACATCCACATCATTGTAATCAACACTCCGTTGTTCTGATGCTGAAGACTTCGCTTGCTAGCCAGTACTCTGCATCAAGTATGATGGTCAAGTGTCCTAATTTGAGCCCTGTTTCCCCATGTTGATTAGATCAAAGAAGTGAACAAAGGATTTTACAGGAATAACTACACATTCTTAATTTTTGTATTTTTATTATTTTGTGTTTACAAGGCCACAGCCAGGATAGGCCACTATTACCAAGACAGGGGTGGCTGGCTCT